TAAAAAGGAGAAAAACCACTACTGTAGCAGCCTCCTACAAGAGGCCAAGTAAAAGTGACTAACAGCTCGCATTTATCAATACTTACTTTGTACCAAGCACCATGCTAAACTTTAGGTCTGAGTTACTTTAATCCACACAATTTGAGGTTGGTGCTAGTCTCATCCTTGCTTTACAGATGGGGACATAGCTACAGAGAACTTTGGTATCTTGCCCACAGTAACACGGTAAGGTCTTAATGCTGTGCTGAATTCTCACTACCGTGTCCTTGCAAGCACTTTTCTCCTCTACTTGGAAGGCCTTTTCAACCTTCTGTCCAGCTTCAAAGGTCAGCGCAAGCACGGTCTCCTGTACAAAGTCTCCTGATGCCCCCTGCTGGTGCTTGTTCCTCTATGTCAATGGTTCTTAGAGTTGGCTGCAAGCTCTAAAACCTAGATGCCTAGATCCCAACCCTAGAGATTCTGATGGCATTGGTCTGGGGCATCAGGACTTATAAAAGCCCCCTAGATGGTTCTAACGTGCAGTCAAGGTTGAGACACACTGCTCTATATTTATATTTCCCCAACACTTTTCTATCAGAGCACTTACCCCACTGCATTGGAATGGGCTGTTTATGTATGTGCTGCTAACAGCATTGTGAGCTCCTGAAATGGAAGTTTCAGTCACCTGGGGTTTTTTTCAAAACTAGAAAGAGGTTCCTGGATCTCACTTATAAATTAAACCTGATTTGTGGCCAGGGCCCTGGAAACTATTTGTCTCTTGACTAATTCTGATATGCGGACAAATTTAGGGACTCTCTCCTAGGTAAGAACTGAGTCTTTTCATTTGTACCCACCAGGGTACAGCACAGTGCCCAGCCCATAGATGGAACATGGTAAGCATTTGTGTAATGAATGAAATCTAGTAATGTGAATCTGGGCTGGGTGCATGTACTCGATATCCACGCTTCCAGGAGCAGCACCCTGAAAAGCTGCTTCCTGCAATAAAATGCAAATACTGGGCGGCCCTTCAAAAGTGTTTTATAATCCACCAGTGCCCTCTGCTGACCTGAAGATGAATAGCTAAATCAAAACTGGTTACAGCTCAAGTATTTTAATTGTATATGCACATAACTAGTCACACACACTGTACTTTTTCCACCAACACCTATACTATCAGCTCCTTCACCCTTGGGTCCTAGGTGACCCAAGCTGATAATGCCCAAACCCAGATCAATCCTACTATTTGCTCTGTCTCCATTCCCAGGCTGCAATCATGATAGACCTGCCCTAGCAGCTCTCAGCAGAGCCCTCAAAGCTTCTCACCCACTTACACACGTAAGTCCAAAAAAAGAGACCAGTAGACTGACTTGATGGTAACATAATGGAGAACAAAAAGGAAAGATTTATAAGAATTATACTTCAATATACAAATGCTCAACCCAACTAAATTAAAGATGTGAAGAGCCACCCAAGTACTCAGAGGGGGTTGGCACCATCCAGATGAGAACCAGTGGTCTACTGTCACTCCCATCCTTCTCCTACCATCTCACAGGAGGGAGGGATTCTCTCTCCTCCTTTTGAAGCTGAAGAATTCTCTCTTGTAAACGCTCCCTCCCCAATTCCTCCCTAGGCCATAAACACTGCCAAATCTTGAATACTGCCACAACCACAAAACTCTAGAATCCTGACCCAATGTGTCCCTCTAGTTAGCATATTCTCTCTCCTTCCCTTGACAGTCAAGCTTATCGATCATTGTGCACATTTACACATCTCTTGGTCACCAGCCATATAACCTAGCTTTCACTTCCATCAGTAAACCTAAACGTATCATGAAAACTTTCCAAATTGCCCAAATCAATGACCACTTCTCCAAACTCACCTAACTCATCTTTCTGTAATGGACACTGTTGGTTACATATCCAGTCTCCATTCGCCCACTGTGTTCATGAACTCATTTCTCCCATGTGATTAAGGTAAAGTGACCCTATCTGGAGATGATCCTGTGTCTAAGCCACGCAGAGCATGGCATTCCCTTAGCGATCACTAAAGGGTCATGGGCAGACTCCTGACCTAAGTTGGTCCAATCAGACTGAAGGAGTTTTGCCCTCTCTTGCTCTTGCTCTAGTGAATGGGAAAGCATGTGTTACAGGCAGTAATCTTGCAACATAGGGGAACCAAACTTATTGCTGAAAGCCAAGAAAAGAGACTGGGTCCTTGATGACATTGTTGACCCACACGAGTCCACCCTTCCTCTGGACTTTGTGAGATAATTTCCCTTACTATTTAAGCAACTGGGTTTTCCCAGCTGAAAGCATCCTAACACAGCCTATCCTTCTTGAAACTTTCCTCCCTTAATTTTCTAAACATCACTGTTTTGTGCTTCTACTTCTCGAAAGTTGCTTCTCCAACATCTCTGGTGTCCCCTCTTCCTCTGCCTACTCCTTGTACTTTGGTGTTCTCCAAGGTCTCCTGCGTCTTTCTACTCCAACTACATGTTTGAATCATTTCAGCTCACTCTATCTTTCCCTTGACACAGCAGAACTGAGTTCCTGGCACTTCCCCCAATGGAATACCAGTGCTGATGTTCCCCAGCTCATCCACCTCAAGAACTCCTACTTGTCTTTCAAGTAAATTTAAATGTCTCCTTGGTGAAGCCTCTCCTGAAGTCCCCAGGGGTTCCTTGCCTTTTTGTGCCATGGACTTCTTTGGCAGTCTGGTGAGCCCTATGGACTCCTTCTCAAAGTAATGCTTCTAATTGCATAAAATACCAATTATATTGCAATAGTTACAAAAATATTTTTAAAACCCCCAATCTGACATAGTAATATGTGCTTCCTTATTAGCTCATTAAATAAAAAGATCGAACAGTAAGTCCTATAACTACTTTAATTTTGAAGTAGTGATGAGCATAAATGACATCTGCAACTGTAATGTGATGTGAAAATGTTTGACTTGCATTGGTTTTGGTGACAGGTACTGTTAATAATATTGTGATTTGTTGCTATAGTAGCTTATTAAGTTAATGGCTCCCAGTGAACTACGCCTCCTCACACCCATGCTTTGATGAAGTACCCCATCACATTGACCCTGGTGTTGGCCATGTGACTTGTCTTGATATCAGCAAATGTAATGCAAGCAGATAAGTGTGTACATTGAAACTTGCCCTCTTGGAACCCAGTAATCATGTGAGGAAGCTCAACTTAGGCCCACTGAGGGGTACCAAGCCCCCAGACATGGGAGTAAGACCACCTTGTAGTGTAGCCACCAGCTGAATTCAGCCACTGGGGGATGCCAACAGAACTGCCCAGTTAACCTATAGATGATGAGAATAAATCATTGTTTTAAGGCACTGGCTTGCAGTGGCTCATTCTCCAGCAACAGATAACAGACAGTTACCTACATTCATGACTGAAGAAATTGCTAAATTTCAGTTGAAGGTTGGTGAAAATAAAAATTCTTTTTCCACCAGAGATCAGGGACTCCCTGGATTCTATCCAGACACTTCTGAGGGGCTGAGGACCACAGGTTAAGAAGCCCAGGTTAGGTAGGCAGAGTAGATCTGCTCTCCTTTTTACTACCACAGTACATTGTTGATACCTATGTAAACTGATCACAGCATATCCTTTGTCGTTGCACCCTAAAGCTGAACTGAGTTTCTAGCACATAATAGGTGTTCAACACAAGCTAATCAAACGAATGAAAGTTGCTTATTGGATCTGTCATCCTGACTAAACTGTGAGCTGCCTGAAGACAAAATAAAAGTGAATGCTTAGATGGTATTTCTATGTGCCGGAGACCCTTCCAAGTGCTTTACACATATGAACTTATTTATTCCTTATAACAACCCTATGAGGCAGATGTTACTCCCCCAATTTCACCAACAGGAAACCAAGTACAAAGAGGTTAAGTGACTTGCTCAAGGTCACACAGCTAGAAAGTGGCAGTGCCAGGACTGGAAGGCAGAAATCTATGTCCTGATTTTATAGCCTGTACTGATGCACCCAAAGCACATTGCACGAACTCAAAAAAATTTCTTGGTATTTTTGAAATTGCATTAGCATTAGTTTATGGGTGTAATGCTTCTTGCAAACTAATTTCTGGCAGCTTGTGATTTGTTTTTCATGATAGAAACTACCATTTACTTTCTTAATAGAATAACAACTTTACGTTAAAATGCAGATTTTCGAACAAAGTCTTCACTGTACAAGTCGATTTCTTTCAAAGGACACGAATTCGCAAAATGTGAAGAAAGAGGTCGACTTGTCCATACTAAATAATGTTCACTAAGGAGGGGGGCAACGCTCCAGCTTCCCCCCTCGCCCAGCCGTTCCTAAGCCAGCAAACCCCACATCCTGCAGCAGCTCAAGAGGGTGGCCCTCCCCCATTCATACACTAGGTTCTGAAACCGGACCCGGCCAAGCAACCAAAGACGAACCCCCGCAGTGCCCCGAGATGGCCTCACCCTACCCACAAACCCAAGAGGGCACCAGCGGGGACAGGGTGGATACTTTCGGGGGTACTTTGATTTTTCAAAGTGTTTTATTCACGAG